GTGGATGAAGTGTCTTGCCTAAGGACACAATAACAGTTTTTGCTACTGGATTTACCAGTGGTCTCCCATCCAAGTACTGACCAGGCCTGGTCATGTTTAGCTTCTAAGATCTGATGAGGTCAGACTTTGACAAGTTGGTATGGCCACCTTTAAACTCCATACACCTTCACTAGAATCATTTGGATATTTAAGCCCTGGAATTGACAATATCTATTAAACTAAAGGTAAAAGGAGCTGTGAACTTGGAAAAACTACCACTACATGACATCACAAAGTGGAACAGAGCATGTTGAACTTTGGAGATGTAAACAGACTAATAAGAAATTGTTACTCAAACATGTGTCAAAGAAACAAAACACAACTCCAGGTCTGTTTTTGATGAGGTAACAACATTATAACGTTGCTTAAAGCTCATAAGAGTCATCTTAAATCATTTTTACAGGAGTCTCCAGATTACACAAATGTTCAAGAGCTGAAATATTTAGACATGGTTATAAGTGAAGCTCTGCGCATGTACCCACCTGGATTCAGGTAAACACAACATACAGTATATGTATAAGTTATAACAGTCTCGTTTGTTGAGATATATTTGTAGTTCTATATTTCTATATTTTATTTTTACTTCTACATGTACATTTATATAGTTATGCGTTATGTGACACCTGTCTCTTGCTGCTGTTTGTTTGCTACGTATTTTGAATTTATTATCATTTATGTATTTTTTACTCTTTATTACTCTGTGAGCTACTGTGTCCAAGGAACTTCCCTTGTGCTTCAATAAAGTTTGTCTAAGTCTTGAGCAGTTCGTTGACAGAAATTTGGGGGCCCGGGACGAAGGTCCAATTCTGGGCCCCAAAGTAAATAAATGATTTCATTGAAGGTTCGTTCGAGATATTGAACGTGACTCAGTGGTGAATGGCCAGCGACTGCCTAAAGGAGCCTGGATAGAAATTCCTGCAGGTTTTCTCCACCACGATCCAGAGCACTGGCCCGAACCGGAGAAGTTCATCCCAGAGAGGTGAGATACAGATTTTAAATACACCTGAACATTGGTTGCCACTTGCCATAAAACACAACGAAGAAGAAGACATATAAATTTTACTTGCAAACACATATTTTTGTGTGTGTTTTGTGCATAGACTGTGTATATAAATGGACATAGCTAACCCAGTAGCTGCCGTATTTCAGAAAGGAAGTGGGCATGGGCACGCTTCTGGCTCCATCGACTCCGACTTCAATTCACTTTGTATTGAAAAACTGTCGCCCCTCTGTGTAACTGCAGCTGTCAGGCTCCTCATTTTGGTTTTAAATGTTCAAATTAATACGCTCAACGTGATCCTGGTGTTTTTTATTTTGCTGTTTTGTCTGTAAATATATTCCTATTCGTAATATTGAACTCTACTCCAAATTTGCTTCATAATTGTTAGTCTTGAGCGCTTCATTTGACTGGAGTCGAACACTATGGGTGACGTGACACTCACTCAGGTTTTAGTCCACTTCTTTATACATCTCAGTTTTTTTGTGAATTAAACGTGTGGTTGTTTTCCAGATTCACTCCAGAGGCAAAGGCCGCTCGTCATCCTTTTGTGTACCTCCCCTTTGGGGCGGGTCCTCGTAACTGTGTGGGCATGAGGCTGGCACAGCTGGAGATGAAAATAGCTTTAGTAAATCTGTTTCACAGGTTCACCATTGTGACCTGTGATGAAACACAGGTGAGAAAAATTCTACTAATAATTTAACATTCAGTCATAAATACAATATATGTCCTACTGTCTCTGTGCAGGTTCCACTTGAGCTGAAGTCTTCGAGCACTCTGGGCCCCAAAAATGGCATCTATGTGAAAATAATAAAAAGGGAGATGGGTGAGGAGACTGAACAAATCAGCACATCATGCAAAGGAATCACCGGATAAAGGATATTTCTCTTAATCTTCAGCATAGTCATCTTTATATTTTAAATTTAAAATATTACTGTCGAATATTTGAACAAAAAATGTTTTTATACGCTTTGTCACATGTGAAGACAGGCACCGTATTGTGACTTTTACATTCCTCAGATTGTGCTGCTAAAGTCCGACTACTTTCCATAAGGAGTTGGTTTTACATCGGATCTGAGATAACAACTTCAGTTACAGGTGTTAACTTTTTGTGGTGAGGAAGTGTATATATATAAAAAAAAAAAAAATCTAAATAAAGTGATTAAAACATTTATTGTGTGTTTGAATGAGAATTTGCATTTCTTATCATTTAAAACAGGATAATTTGTTACCAAAAGAACCTTTTTAGTGAATAAATAAATACTACAGTCGGGCACTTGTCAAGGATGTCAGGCCTGTAAACCAGACATGTCAAACTCAGGCCCGGGAGCAAAATTTGGCCTGCGATATAATCAAATTTGGTTCGCGAGATCATATCAAATATGTGCTGGCCCGCTGACATTATTTATTTAAAATGTTGTTATTATTTTATATTCTGCTCGTTCTGGATTCAGTGTTAAAGCAAAACTATAAACATTTACTTTAATAAGAAAAGGTTTAACATTGCATATCTCGAAAGAAGAGAAAACGTGCAGATGCTGTTGAAAGTTTTTCAATAAATATTTAGTTTGGCCCATGACTTAGTCCCAGTTTTTCATTTTGGCCTCTGTGAATTTGAGTTTGACACCCCTGTTGTAACCCATAATGATACGTATGATTAAAGTGTTTCCCCTTTGATTATATCTTTAAAAATAATACACAGTTTTTAAAAATAACCTAGATTAATTTGTCAGAGTAATCTCCACCTACAGTGAAAACACCATCACTCTATAAATTGTTCTAGTTATTGTTGTGTTATGTCATTGCGTATTGCTACTTTACCGTCATGTCATCCGGCAGCAGTATTATATTTTGTTTTCGTTTATGGTCGTACAAACTAATAATAATGTTAACGGAGGCACAAAGATTCATTGTTTATGACTGTACAAAATAAAAGGTAATGTTAAAGAAAATTTGAAAGAAAAGCATGTGTTTAGTAGTTAATAGTTGTGTTTTTTTTATACCCCCCATTTCATTAATCCCACCCTAACACTTAAACCCCCACCACCCCCCCATCCAGGTCCTACATACACAATACATATATAAATAACAATCTGCGTTGTACTTTTGTTTCTTTCCATTTATACCATTTATACCAGTGGAAGCACAGTAAATTAGAAAATTTGCCTTGACATCCTCTTGAGAAGGCTGTAAAGTTATAATGATTTGAAAGATTTTGTATATTTGATTATAGAGTCGCGTACAGTGTAAAACTTAGCTGGTTGGGCTCTCAAGTCATATTTAATTTTTTCAAGGTCAAGAAACGACATGAGGTCACTTAGCCAAATTTAAAAAACTGTTTAAGAGTGAAAAATCCTGTAGTGTGTGGTTGCCTTCAGTTTTTTTTTTTTTTTTTTTTTTTAAACTTAAGTACAGTACTTTACTACTTTTACTTTGTTACGTTCCATCACTGGTAGAAACACAAAATGCACTGAATGAACCATAATTTTCTGTGATGTCCAGGCACACATACATACACAGTCTATGAGGCACAAGAACAGCAGGGGGCAGTGTGGTTCAGCCTGGGTAAAACAGAAAACAGAGAGGTGATATAAGGTGAGGGCTTTTAAATATCCTCTTTTCAGAGTCAGACTGTCAATCTGTGCATTCTCCAGAACAGCCATTCAACTGTGGTGGTGCTCCCGGTCCTTAATATTGTCTTTTCGTTGGCCAATTTGAGCAGAGCGTACCTGCCCACCCCCTCGCCCTCCCCTTCCCCCTGATCCTCAATTTTTTTGTGGGGGGGAAAGTCCAGGGCCCTTTTTTGGTCCCAGTCTGCTCCTGCCTCTTTTCATCACATACTCACACACACACAGTTTAAGGCAAGGGTGTCAAACATACGGCCTGGGGGCTGGATTCGGCCCTCCAACACCTTTAATCTGGCCCTCAGCTGATTTTCTATTAAAATATTTTAATTATATTTTCTATTAAAATATTGGTAATTGTCTGTGGTGCTTAGCATAGCAGCGTGTCTCCAGCGTCTCTGTACGTGGCCCCTCCCACCAGAGCAGCACAAATGAAGACTTGTCTCTTTCCAAACGCTCTTAAAGGACGATCATTTTGACTGTTCACCGTGACACCCTCATCAGCAAAATGTCAAAAATTAGAAAAGTAGATGCCAAGTGCAGGATTTTCCAAGAAAAATGCACTTATTCCTATTTGCAAGTTAATGCAAATAGGAATAAGTTTCAACATTGTGTTGAAATTGAAGTTTCAGGTTGTTCAATATTATAATATTTTGTAAAAGAGTTCATCAATTAAAAAAAGATTTCTGTAACAGACTTGCGTTTTCTCTGCACAAATATTTGAACTTATTGCTATTTTTGGGGTTTATATGCCATGAATTTTCTGGTCTGGCCCCTTTGGGATCAAAGTAGGTTGGATATGGCCCCCGGACCAAAATGAGTTTGACACCCTGGTTAAAGGTGTCCATGTTATAAAATCAAAAACATCCACTGAATCATCCACAAGTCTTTCATGTTATAGCCAAATATTGTCTGATTAACTCTATGCTGACTTTGGCTTAGCATCATGATCACATGACTTGTGTAATGTTTACACATGGTGTTTATGGCTTTGTCCTCAGCAGTAACACATTCTATGAGCTTCGGTGCTGCTGGTAAGTGTCTAAACAGGATTAGTTTTAAAATCTAAGTGAAAAAAGGTCAGTATTTTCAGTAATATCTATAATAATCATAATCAGAAGTTATCAACAGAGTTTGCTCATTAAATCTTCTTTGCAATATTCCATTTTATTTATTTTACATAGATCAGCTCTCATGGAATATTTATTTTATTGTTTAACCTGTAGTGTTTAATAAAAAAAAAAAAAAGAAATGAGAAATGATCTGTCTATTCTGCAGTTTCAATAGTTGTTTAATTACAGGTTAAATTCCTCATGGACTTCTCAAATGCATTTTTTTATGGATTCCAGTGAGTGGCCAGTGACTATTGCCCTGTTCCTCCTTTTTCTCAGTCTTCTCTATTGGTACGTAAATAAAACAGATTCACAATCATCTGTAAATACAAGATAATCTCTGCACGTCCTCTGGTAACTGTGAGTTTGTAGGTATTCTGTTTACCCGTTTTCTGTGCTGTCAGAATGTGGCATCAAACATCCCAAACCTTTGCCCTTTTTGGGGAACATTTTTCTATTTCGTGAGGTAAGTCTGTTTTAGATAAAGAGGGGTTATTCTTGGTTTATAATGCTGTTAGATTATCAGTGCTCATCAGGGAATATATATATATATATATATATATATATATATATATATATATATATATATATATATATATATAAATAAAACTTATTGTCCTATATTACTTTTAGGTTGGACAATGTGCATGTTTTGTTTGGGGGTCTGTCAGCTGCTTGTTTCTATGGATATATCATTGCTCTGCCTGGAATGTTCCACAGTATGACATTAAACATCTTTACCTTACATTTATTCAATTACATGTGGCTTTATTGCTCAAAAATATGAAACACGTATTTCCTTCAGGATAAATAAAGTATTATCTATATATCTGTCTATCTGTCCTATAATTAGGTCTCCATGAAGATAGAAATGTTTAGCAATAACATCTCCATGGAGGAAATTCTTTAATGGACCTTCCACCAGAAAAGTTACACAGTGCACCTTTAAGCCATGTTGCCTCATCAAAAACATACCACTCAAACATGTGTGAATGAAACAAAACAAAACTCCAGGTCTGTTTCTGATGAGGAAACATTATAGCATAAATACTAAAATAGTGTAATGTGGGCTCTTTAAATATTACACTTATAATTTAAATGATGTACATTTCTGCAGGGTTTCTTTAATGCTTTGACGGATCTCATAAAAACACATGGACGAGTTTGTGGGTAAGTATAACTATATAAACATTTTGTCTTTTTTTCTTGGTGTTATAAAGGGCAGTGGTGAACTGCGGTCCGTTGGTCTGAGATAAGATACCTGTTTAGCAAGACAAATCAGCTCACATGTATTCACTTTTAATTCTATAATTCCAACCAAGTCACCTCTTTCTGNTTTAGATAAAGAGGGGTTATTCTGGTTTATAATGCTGTTTAGATTATCAGTGCTCATCAGGGAAATTATATATATATATATATATATATATATATATATATATAATATATATATATAATATAAAACTTATTGTCCTATATTACTTTATAGTTGGACAATGTGCATGTTTTGTTTGGGGGTCTGTCAGCTGCTTGTTTCTTAGGATCATATCATTGCTCTGCCTGGAATGTTCCACAGTATGACATTAAACATCTCTACCTTACATTTATTCATTACATGTGGCTTTATTGCTCAAAAATATGAAACACGTATTTCCTTCAGGATAAATAAAGTATTATCATATATCTGTCTATCTGTCCTATAATTAGGTCTCCATGAAGATAGAAATGTTTAGCAATAACATCTCCATGGAGGAAATTCTTTAATGGACCTTCACCAGAAAAGTTACACAGTGCACCTTTAAGCCATGTTGCCTCATCAAAACATACCACTCAAACATGTGTGAATGAAACAAAACAAAAACTCCAGGTCTGTTTCTGATGAGGAAACATTATAGCATAAATACTAAAATAGTGTAATGTGGGCTCTTTAAATATTACATTATAATTTAAATGATGTACATCTGCAGGGTTTTTAATGCTTTGACGGATCTCATAAAAACACATGGACGAATTTGTGGGTAAGTATAACTATATAAACATTTTGTCTTTTTTTCTGTGTTATAAAGGGCAGTGGTGAACTGCGGTCTTGGTCTGAGATAAGATACCTGTTTAGCAGACAAAAGCTCACATGTATTCACTTTTAATTTCTATAATTCCAACCAAGTCACCTCTTTCTGGTCAGATTGTGTTAAAATAAACCTCAGATTAAGTCTAATTTGAGCAACAAAGCGTCTAAGAGAGCACTGCTTTTAGTTAGCATCACACCTCGAAGGATTGTTGTCGTAGTATGTATCAATACTTACGTATATTTTCAGGTATTACCTGGACGCAGGACCGGTGGTGGTGATCGCTGACCCTGATATGCTTAAAGAGGTGTTGGTCCGAGACTTCAGCAATTTCCCCAACAGAAATGTAAGAGGTTTAAAGGTTTAATAATACAAGAACTGACACTTGTGAACTTTAAGTCATGTTAGAATGCTGTTACCTCAAAAACAGACCTAGAGTTCTGTTTTGTTTCAGTCACGCAATTGAGAAATCTTTTTTATTATTCGTCTGTCTACATTTCCAAAGCTCAAAATGCTCTGTTCCACCTTGTGATGCATTGAACTGGTAGTTTTCAAGGTAGCAGCTACATTTTACCTTTTGTTAGTAGAGCTTGGCAATTTCAGGCTGAGTTTAAAAACACACTGAGCACTCCCTGTATTAACACATCCACAAGGTGGAACAGAGTTTTCAGTTTGAGAGAGAACTCAGCCTAAATATACAGGGTTTGTGTGTTGAAGAAGCAACATTAAAACATAGATTGAGAAAATAGTGTAATACAAGCCCTTTATGTTATGTGATTACATGCAAAAAAAAGATTACGTATTTTGTTTTCCTGACACTGTTTTTATTTACATTTTATTCCAATTTCATGAACAAATTCCATCATCACAGACTGAAAAACTGCTTCCTTGCAGACTTTTCGAATCGCCATCAAGCCCATGAGAGACTCTCTGCTGTTGTTAAGGAATGAACAGTGGAAAAGAGTCCGGAGCATCCTTACACCTTCTTTTAGTGCTGCTAAAATGAAGAGGTATTGTACTTCTGACAATTACACGAGATATAGCTCAACCTGTCATATAACAGATTTTGAAGCTCAAATTACATTAGACTGTTATTATCATGGACATAACTAACCTGCTAATCGCCATGTTCCAAGTTAGGAAGTGAGCATTGGAGACACTTCCAGGTCAGCAGAGATCCACCTCTGCCCACCCAAAAATGTTCCAGATCCTGTGCACCTCCACTGGGTAAGACACCATTCCCCTGGAGGCGGTTGCCTTCGGGAAAGAGAATCCACCGCTTGATTACCGTTTCCCGGTAAATACATTGCTCGCATGTGGACAGATGAGGGAGCCATTTTTGGACACCCTGAGAAGCTGCTGATTGATGCAGATGGTGATTGACAGAAGTGTTGTCAACTGGATAAAATTTTCCTCAGGTGCAAAAATTCATCATCATTTTTTCACTATCCGTCGGTCGCGGGGCAACAGCTAGGAGGCCCAGACTTCCTCACCCAACACTCCTCCAGCTCCTCCGGGGGACCCGAGGCGTTCCCAGGCCAGCCGAGAGACATAGTCCCTCCAGCGTGTCCTGGGTCTTCCCCGGGGCCTCCTCCCGGTGGGACATGCCCAGGAACACCTCCCGAGGGAGGCGCCCAGGAGGCATCCGGAACAGATGCCCGAGCCACCTCAACTGGCTCCTCTCGACGTGGAGGAGCAGCGGCTCTACTCCGAGCTCCTCCCGTGTGACTGAGCTCCTCACCCTATCTCTAAGGGAGCGCCCAGCCACCCTGCGGAGGAAACTCATTTCGAGCGCTTGTATCCGCGATCTCGTCCTTTCGGTCACTACCCAGAGCTCATGACCATAGGTGAGAGTAGGAACGAAGACTGACCGGTAAATCGAGAGCTTCGCCTTTCGACTCAGCTCCCTCTTCACCACAACGGTCCGATACAGCGACCGCATCACTGCCGAAGCTGCACCGATCCGCCTGTCAATCTCACGTTCCGTCCTTCCCTCACTCGTGAACAAGACCCCGAGATACTTGAACTCCTCCACTTGAGGCAAAGACTCCCCACCCACCCGGAGAGGGCAAGCCACCTTTTTCCGGTCGAGAACCATGGCCTCGGACTTGGAAGAGCTGATCTTCATCCCAGCCGCTTCACACTCGGCTGCAAACCGCCCCAGTGCACATTGCAGGTCCTGGTTCGATGAAGCCAACAGGACAACATCGTCCGCAAACAGCAGAGATGAAATCCTGTGGTCCCCAAACCGGACCCCCTCCGGCCCCTGACTGCGCCTAGAAATTCTGTCCATAAATACAATGAACAGAACCGGTGACAAAGGGCAGCCCTGGCGGAGTCCAACATGCACCGGGAACAGGTCTGACTTACTGCCGGCAATGCGAACACAGCTCCTGCTCCGGTCATACAGGGACCGGACAGCCCTTAGCAAAGGGCCCCGGACCCCATACTCCCAGAGCACCCCCCACAGGACACCACGAGGGACACGGTCGAATGCCTTCTCCAGATCCACAAAACACATGTGGACTGGTTGGGCAAACTCCCATGAACCCTCGAGCACCCGATGGAGAGTGTAGAGCTGGTCCAGTGTTCCACGGCCAGGACGAAAACCACACTGCTCCTCCTGAATCCGAGGTTCGACTATCGGCCGGATTCTCCTCTCCAGTACCCTGGCATAGACCTTACCGGGAAGGCTGAGGAGTGTGATCCCCCTATAGTTGGAACACACCCTCCGGTCCCCCTTCTTATACAGAGGGACCACCACCCCGGTTTGCCAGTCCAGAGGTACTGTCCCCGACCGCCACGCGATGTTGAAGAGGCGTGTCAGCCAAGACAGCCCCACAACATCCAGAGACTTAAGGTACTCAGGACGGATCTCATCCAACCCCGGAGCCTTGCCACCAAGGAGCTTGCCAACCACCTCAGTGACTTCGGCCAGGGTGATGGATGAGTCCGCCTCCGAGTCCCCAGCCTCGGCCTCCTCCTCGGAAGGACGTGACGGTGGGATTGAGGAGATCCTCAAAGTATTCCTTCCACCGCCGGACAACGTCCCCAGTCGAGGTCAACAGCTCTCCCCCCGCACTGTAAACAGTGTTGGTGAAGAACTGCTTTCCCCTCCTGAGGCGCCGGACGGTTTGCCAGAATCTCTTTGAGGCCGTCCGATAGTCCTTCTCCATGGCCTCCCCGAACTCCTCCCAGCTCCGAGTTTTTGCCTCCGCGACCACACGGGCTGCAGCACGCTTGGCCCGCCGGTACCCGTCAGCTGCCTCAGGAGTCCCCCGAGCCAGCAAGGCCCGATAGGACTCCTTCTTCAGCTTGACAGCATCCCTTACTTCCGGTGTCCACCACCGGGTTCTGGGGATTGCCGCCGCGACAGGCACCACAGACCTTACGCCCACAGCTCCGAGCAGCCGCATTGACAATAGAGGCCGAGAATGAAGCCCACTCGGACTCCATATCTCCAGCCTCCCCCGGAATCCGGGAGAAGTCCTCCCGGAGGTGCGAGTTGAAGGTCCCTCTGACAGAGGGCTCCGCCAGACGTTCCCAACAGACCCTCACTACACGCTTGGGCCTGCCAGGTCTTTCCGGCTTCCTCCTCCGCCAGCGAACCCAACTCACAACCAGGTGGTGATCAGTTGACAGCTCAGCCCCTCTCTTCACCCGAGTGTCCAAGACACGCGGCCGGAGATCAGATGACACGACGACAAAGTCGATCATCGACCTCCGGCCTAGGGTGTCCTGGTGCCACGTGCACTTATGGACACCCTTGTGCTCGAACATGGTGTTCGTTATGGACAAACTGTGACTAGCACAGAAGTCCAATAACAAAACACCGCTCGGGTTCAGATCGGGGAGGCCGTTCCTCCCAATCACCCCTCTCCAAGTGTCACTGTCGTTGCCCACGTGGGCGTTGAAGTCCCCCAGGAGAACAACGGAGTCCCCGGTCGGTGCACTGTCTAGTACCCCTCCCAAGGACTCCAAGAAGGCCGGGTACTCAGCACTGCTGTTCGGCCCGTAGGCCGACACCACAGTGAGAGACCTGTCCCCGACCCGAAGGCGCAGGGACGCGACCCTCTCGTTCACCGGGTGAACTCCAACACACAGCGGCTG